TTTCAGTTCAAGTGATTGATATGATGATAAAAATTTCAGAGCAATATCAACCAAAAATACGCCAAAATCCTAGAAAGGAAGCTCATGGAAAACTATGTCAAAATATATAGAGATGAAGCTTTTGACTATATGGATCAAGATCAATCGAATGATCAAAAATCTATCACCAAAGGATGATGTAATATTGTTGTAATTGAAAATTTATAGCAAACACTCAGGATGCCTTTCACATTTCGAAGTTGCATCCTAGGACGATCATGTATAAATGGATACACTTTATTAATTGATTATATGATATCTAGTAGAGTAAACATAAGGTTTTGGAGACTACCAACGAGACTTCTATACTTCTTTGGATCTCGATTAAAAACATCATCTCTAGCAGACTATTTTCTTGTATTGGTAATGGTTTATTGTCATTCATTCTTTAAAAAAAATAGTGGATCTAATGCGTATTGGGGTTGGGTGAATTTCATGCCTTCTCTCATATGCTCAACTTCCACTGTTGTGAAATACTTTAGAATCCAAGATTCTTTATGGAAAACTATATTGCAAACATTACCTTTGGTTGTATTATTTCATGACTATTATTTTATGTTACAAAAATTCATCAACACAGAGAAGCAACAGTACCAGCTTGAATTTTTTTTTTATAATAAAAGAGAGTTGTCTTTAACACTTCTAGAATAGCCTCTTTTAAGAAGAGCCTTCCAAGAATTTCCAAACCAAGCTCATGGAGCTTATTTAAGACCATATATCGCCTTTCTCAATCTACACACAAGATTAGAGGTAAAAATGCAAATTTCACATATAAATAGTGTAACCTCCAGCTATAGTGATTAGTCATTACTAACGCTCATCTAACAATGCCTATCTTTAGAACTAGAATATAGGTCTCGTCATAATCTAGTATATACTTTAGATTGTAGCCTTTAGTCACTATGTTTGTTTTGTATCATTCAATAGTGTTATCAGACTTGCATTTGATTTTAACATCTACATCTAATAACATTCTAATTTTTGGATCTGGGTATGAAATCCTAAATGTGTGGTTATTGTGAAGAGCAAGTAGTTTCACATACATAGCCTCTATGCACTTGAAATCTTTAACGGCCTCTCTATAGATATTTGTTTATGTATGCTTGATGAGTTCAGTGACAAATGAATAAGGTTCGGTGGAGGGATCACCATATGATGCCCAATCCTCTATTGGAGAACCTTCTTAGTTGAATACCTCGAGAGGAGTGATGCGGCTAATCATCAAGGATTCGGATTCGGATTCAAGTAGTTGAAGTTCTCTTCCTAAGGGGATTAAGGTATTCCACACTACTAGACACATGATCAATGGCCACATCCCCCAACAAGTCAAGAGTCACCATGTGACAATGATTGAGAACTAAACGATGGAATTGTTCTCTATCGGCGATATGATGAGAAATGATGGAGGCTATGAGTAATCCCTCTTGCAAATTTTCTCCTAACGCTTGTACAATCCTTTATCAAAAGTCACATGATGGGAAATATGTATTTTCCCAATAGCAATAGAATATACACAATAAACACACATTCTTCACCCTTAGGTGGGGTTTTGCATCTTAAAGATTTGTCTATATACACATAATAAATGCAGTCAAAAGTACGAAAAATTGAATAAATGCAGTCAAAAGTCCAATGAGCATTTGAAACCGGGATATGTTGTTTGAATTGGCAGAAGTTGGTAACTGATTAATCGTGTGAAATGCTTCACTTCATAAATGCATCAGTTCCCCACTATGAAATATTAAAGAAAACTCCAAATATATATATATATATATATGTATGTGTGAGTGTGTGTGTTTTCACTCTACAACACCATTCTGGGCAAGTGTATATGGAAAAGAGAACTGTTGTTTAATACCATAAGTAGTACGAAAGCATCAGAAAGTATAGAAGAAATTCACCACCATTATCATTGTGAAGAAATTCAGTCCGCAATTGACAATGTTTTTCAGTTAATTCTTTGAAAGACTAAAAAAATTGGAGGCCTTCAGCTTTAGATTTCAAAAATATATACATAGAAAGTGAAAGAACTTTATCGACAAAAATAGTATAATAGCATGAACCGGAGAGAGAAGCAACTTTAGAAGGTCCTCACAATTAGTATGAATGAGTTTCAGAAAGCGATAAGTACATTTATTTACATTAGAAAAAAGGTATTTGATGGTATTTCTTAAGCTGACAACTTCTATAAACAATGTCAATTGGTACTTTATTAGATAAAGAAGACAAGACCTTGAGCTTATTCAATTGATTAATTATAGCAAAGTCTGTGTGGGCTAATTGATTATGACATAGTTATGCAAACGCACTATAACGCCTGCTAAGGGATAAGGCAATAGTGAACAAGGTATGCACTTCATTGCTTTCAAAAAAATTGAGGTTTTTGATAATGTTTCTTTTCTTCTTCTTTTTTTCGTTTAGTGAAGAACTTCCCCGACAGAAAATCCTTCACCAAAAGCAAAGTAGGTGCATGTAAGAAGGAACAATTTAATGGATCATTGAATTAAGATACAGGAAGGACATATTTTGTGAAATTCAGGAGCAAGAAATTACGTGACACTTTTAGATGACCCATGGATGAGGTAATCGAGGCAGTACCAATACGTGCGATCACCAGTCAAGTTTTGTGCTCATGTCCTACCGGAGAGGGGTCTGCTCTCTAGTTCTACCTGTCGGACTGTCCAATCAATGGCTAGTTTTAGAGATAGTGTGTGCGTGTGGTTTTGCTGGTTCTAGTCAAACAGTGTCCTTTATGGCAAGGTCTAATTTTGGCAAAAATCCTTAATCTTAATCAAGGATTCAGTACAACAATCTTTGAAAGATACGTAGGTATTATGGCAAGGTCTGTAAATCTCTTACTAATACTCGCCACCATAATTCTATCATGAATTTCTCGTAATGTATTACCATTTTTCGGCGATATCTTAGATATATATATGGGATTATATACGACCGTTTACCTGTAGTACAAAGAAGTCACAATTATTTATAATTATCTGATGGCTTGGATGTGTCATAAAATTCGAAAAAATTTTCTTAAAACTTAAAGCTTGATCAATGGAATAAATGCAGCCACCCAATTATTTCCCATCCAATGATCAATATTAAATGTGACCACTTTGGTCTCATCATTGTATACTTTTGCGATATATATTCACTAGTAAGTGCCTATAGATGCATCCACACCTTAAGACCACTCAATGTCGATCACATGGGGTAAATAAGGCCTGTCAGCATGCCTCGAGCTAACCCTTGATTTATAATCCTTTGTCACTCCAACCAAAAAATCCTGATCCCGAAGTTCATTTGGAACTCAATTCGGATCTAGGTCTGGTTTCAAGTTTTGGGCCCGATGGGTCGCATCCAGGTCCAAAACCGTAGACTTGAGTCGGATCCAAGTCTAGGTCAA